AGTTTTGTTATGAGATTCATTCATATCAATAACAAAAATTATGTCATCAACTGTTAAGGGAGATTGACTAATTGTCAATGCAGATTTCGAGTCACATTTCGAGATTAAGATGTGATGTCGCATTAGGGGTAGCAAGAGGTCTGCTCCTTGAAAGTTGTGTTTTCCAGCAAGGTTTTGCTGGCTGGGAAACCCAGGGGCCTCACCCTCATTAACCTAACCCTATGCCAGAAACTGGCTATAATCCACGGGTTGTACTCATAACACTCCCCCCTCCCACTAAAGGTATAAAACGCAAAGAGTTAAGTGTAAGAACTGACCTGCAAAGCTGTTGGGTTCACCAAGGAAATCCAGGGGCTTCACCCTCGTTAACCTAATCCTATGCCAGAAACTGGCAATAATCCGCGGGTTGTACTCACAACACTCCCCTCTCCCACCAAAGGTGTAAAATGCAAAGAGTTAAGTGTAAGAACTGACCTCCAAAGCTGTGGGGTTCACCAAGGACATTCCCTCTGGCCCATGTTTCTCTATCCGTAATTCGTAGAAATCTTTTTTTTTTTTTGTATTTCTTTTTTTGTAATTCATATAAATTTGTCGTATTAGCTTCGCTGCTCACTGTCTATTCTGTTGTAGATAGTGAGTAGCCTAGCAGTGTGCGGTTGTAACATTCAATGAACATGGAGGCCGCTTCTTTGCGTTTTCGAATAGTCTTTGAAGGGGATTTAGATTAAAGTTTTGGACGACTAATAGATTTCTACTAAAAAAAATTAGATCATTCGCTCTCAATTTCTATGCGTGATAGTTGACTCGGGCTCCGCCCTCCCAACTATCACGTGAGAAATCTCGAGCTCGTAATCTAAAAAAATAGACTAATCTTAAATCAAAACAGTTCAAAATGTTAATTCGCCTGGTTTTGAATTTGAACTATCTGCATGATTTAAACTCAGTTGATCTTGAGCAAGCGTTGGTGCTGATCAGCCAATTGAAAAGATAACACTTTGTTCAAATTATGTTCACTTGTTACTTTCCACAGGTGTAAAACCCAAAGTTGTTCAACGTAACGACGAAAGATGTTAAACGTAATAATCATTCGCTTTGCCAGAATACAGGTAAGCCGTAGTTGAATCTTTAGAAGCGTCTGTAAAAATAGGTCCGTTAAGCGTACATGTGGAACTACATTAATTATACTTCACTGCAATTGGTTTGGCTGTCATAGCGTTCGGGATCCCAGTTAGGCCACTGTTGGTTGAAATTGCTATTTAATGTGGGAATTTTCAGAATAACCCATCAAGGCCACTGTGTAGACCAGAGTACCATCTTGTGTTTTAGATCTCCAGAAAGCTTCTGTGTGTTTTTACATCTTCACTACGCCCATAATTCAAGTCACAAGATTACGCCAAGTCATATTAGGGAAGAAAAATGAGTTAATTAAGGAAAAAAAAATAAGCAAATAGAAAGGGTTTGGTTCTCCTTATCGTAACTTTGCCCGCAGTATGGCAGGTGACCCCTTTTTCCTTCAACGCTTCCTTTTTACTCAGAAAATGACATTTTCCGAGTGTAGGAAGAACATTGACTTTCACTCCTTCGCTCGCACCTTTCTTCCGTCCATGCAAATAACTCGTTGTTGAGTTTGTCGTAGAGAGGTAACACGATTCACTTAGGAAGTGATTTGTTTTAGAGGCAATTTTTCTCATCCGTGGATCTGTTTAGACATTCGACGTTATGGAGCAGCGGGCGACTGGCAACTGTACAGAGCACTATGTTTAATATCGACCAGTGACGAACTCGGTTCAGTGGCCTCAACACTCTTTCGTAATTCATTTTCTGAATTCAGTGACTCACAGCCACTTTGATTTTGCTTTCTTCTCGTAACTTTGGACGTGAGAAGTTTTCATTGCCTGGTGTTTTTTTTTCCTGTAATTTTTCGAATAGAACTTTTGCTTCAGTCGTGCAGAATTATAAGTACAGTAAGGCTGACATTACGCGACAGAATGAGATCAGCTTGAAAATGTTTCTGCACATATAGGCCTCTTTTTGTTAAAATTAACACATCTACGTTATACAGAGATCTCCTTGTCAGTTATGTTTCCCTGAAAGAAAGTTTTTTAAATTTATTTTCCAGGCTTGAGGTGGTCGTTATTTAATGTCATTTATATTAAATCTATTCCGTTTGTGTTTAACGCTAAAATTGATAAAAAATTTGTCAAATGTAAGATTTGGTCAATTTATTTCCGTTTCTGAAAGAAAAAAAAATCATTTTTACGTCAGGACCGAGAGTCGAACTCGCGACTCCACTACATACCGATTTGACGGAGCGAGAAGCGCACCAAACCATTGCGCCAACTTGTCACGACACATCTTCACTCTGAAAACTTGGCTACATATGCATACCAGTGACGCGCACTATGGTCAGCGTGACATACCTGACCAGCGCACACTATGTAATACTTATGTAGTGAATGGGTTTTTGTTGAAATTTTATCTCGCGAGAGATTTAAACGTAAAGTTTATGATCCTCGGCTTTGAAGTATGTAAAACGTGGAACAATTACGCTTTATATTTTTTAAAATTTAGTTTGTTGCGCTATTGGGCAAAAGAAAATGTAATAGATATGTTTACCGCAGACAGCGCGCGGGCGCAATTTGCATATTATTTGCGTTTATTCTTGCCCTTTAAGTTTATTTTTAACGGAAAGTTAACAGTTACAGTCGGACAAGATTAATCTCTTTTTATTGTTTTATGTTTTCGTTAGGTATCAACAGGTGCAGCTTCAAACTTTGTGGGCTTTTGAAAACATCTTGCACGCAATAGAAAGTTCCTCTAAACGCGATGGGCAAACTCGGGTAAGTCGTAATGTTTACATATTTACTATGAATTTGATTCTACGAGGATTTAGGGACATTTAGGTACAGAACTAAACAGATTTTAACCGCTTGAAGCCTTTCGTTGTAAATGTGGGCGTAAACTTGATTAGACGTGAACAAAGATTTTTAAACGTTAACGAAGATGAAAGCAAATTTCGCTACGATCGATCTTGAGTCGTGCGGGTTTTGGAACAACCACACGCACTGAGAAGTCGCGCTGTGGAAGTATGAAAATTGTAGTGCAAAAACGCGAATAGAGCTGAAAGCAATCTCGAAACGATCGGTTTGGAATTGTGCCGGCATAACTGCAAGCGTATCTTGTTCTTATGCCTTTGGAATAATATTCTAAGTCTTTTCTTTGGTGGGAAATATTTGTATACTTAAAAGTTCACGTTCCCTTCTTTTTCAGATGCCTTTGAAATGACCAGTGTGGAGGAAGGCCAAATGAAAGCAAAGCAAAAGCAAAGTTGATGTGGAAAAACCTCCGCCTCCCCGTTTGCCACCATTAACTAGCGCTTGTACATTTACCCAGAGTTTTGAGTTCTCGTACGCATGCGAGTTTGGTATCATATTTTTGACTAAAATTTTTTCTAAGTCTTTTGGCGGGAAACGGTTTTATATGTAAAGTTCTCTATGATCCCTTTCGTCGAGATTCCTTGAAAATGACCAGTTTTAAGAAGTGGCCAAAGAAAAATGTGCAACTTTGAAAGGAAGTGAAAATTGATGTGAGTTCTCGTCCTTGTGGTACAACCTTGCACGTACGCATGCGCGTTTGGTGTCATATTTTTGACTAAAATTTTTTCTAAGTCTTTTGGCGGGAAACGGTTTTATATGTAAAGTTCTCTTATGATCCCTTTCGTCGAGAGACCAGTTTTAAGAAGTGGCCAAAGAAAAATTTTCAACCTTGGAAGGAAGGCAAAAATTGATGTGGAACACCGCCACCTCCCCGCCACCACCACTAACTAGCATTTCTTTTATACTTATAGCGAGAGTTTGGTGCTCCCATCCTTGTGGTACAGTAGCTTCTAATACGCATGCGTACTAGGTAAGTGTCCCAGTTACAAGAAACCTGTTGTACTGTATGTCGTGACTGTAAGTAACTAATACCTCCGTGTCGGACAACCCGAAGTTTGATCTTCGTTTAACCATCGGGTTGCCCGGTACGGAAGTATCACTTACTTACAGTCACTACGTACAGTACAACGGGTTTCTTGTAACTGGGACACTTACCTAGTACCCAGGCGAATCAGAGGTAACTTTACCACAACGATGGGAGCACCAAACTCTGGCCATAAGCATAAAACAATTGCTAGTTAGTGGCGGTGGCGGTGTTCCACTTCAATTCCAAGGTTGACAATTTTCCTGTCTGGTACTCGTCATTTGCTAGGCATCTGAAAGAGTCTTGCAAGCATGGTTTTCAGTAAACTGACACAAGTTTGTAACATGATGAAATGAATTTATTTTGTAATAGTACAACAGACAAAAAACAATAAAGATTAACATACAGTGCATATCTTTCGCGTACAATAAACAACAGTGTACTCGTTATCAGCGTCCGTAACTCTTCGTCTTATTACCTCCGCCATATTCTGAACATATAGTGATCATAATAAAGCCATAATTTACGAACCTTTTGTTACTTTCCTCTAATAGCTTCGACTTTCTTGAGTTACCACGATATTAACAATATGTGGAACTAGATTATCAACTAATGACCCGCGATAGAATTATATTACAAAACCTTTGACAAAAATAACACAATTACATACCGCCATTATTTCCTTCGACAACTACAAAATTACGAGAAATTAAAAGACTTTCAGAGAATTTAAAAGTCCTTTCAACATCACTGCCACTAAATAAAGTTATAAACTCCTATTCGACGATTTACTCAAAAAATACGTAAGAAAGATCTAAGGATATTAACCTAGCAGCGCTGTATATAAACAACAGCAACATGTAAATTATAATGATTACAGAATGGCATTCGATAAAAGTACCATCTGCATTGTTACTAGAATATTAAACATTTTGAATGACTATTAAGTTCGCGGGTTTTCCAGATCGTAAACATTTACGTTTGTTGAGAAAAAGTTTCGTCGTTTTCTTACCGCGCCTTAGAAGCCAAATTAATTTTATCGGCAGAGAAGAAATTTTTTTCCCTACTCGATTGGGAATAGTATGATAAAGAAAATTGCAAATTGTATTCTTTTTCTTTCACACAGAGCCAGTGGAACTTGCACCGCGGGAAAAATATATTCGACACTAATTTTCTCCTGCGAGTTTTAACCAGGCTAAAATGAAACCCTGTTTTTTTAGGTAGCCAATGTAAAAAGAAACTTCCCTCATGTAAACAGACGATTTTGTCTTCCTTAGCTTACATCATTTCTAATTCATGTTGCTAGGAAAAA